TTATCATTAATTTTAATTTTAAATTTTTCATGTAATTTTTATTTTAGATTTGATTTCATTCTATAAATACAAAAAATTCATATAAATATTAAAATATACAATATTATTATAAATTTATAATTCAATCTTATTTATTATCAGTTATTTAGTCAAAACTTAACTACTTGAAAAAACTTTTAAATTCAAAGAGATGGATTTAATATTATAAATCATGATTCTATTTGCGTTCTTATTCTGCTAAGGAGGCTGAAGCTGTGGGAATTAAGGAGTTCTTGAGTTGGGTTAAGTCTAAAGGTAGAAAAAGGATGATTGTGGAGTCTGATGCCCTTGGAGTCAGACGAGCACTGAAAAATCCAGAATATTCAGATTATTCAACATTTGGTTTAATCATTGATGATTTTAAATCTTTGCTGCGGGAGATTCGATATGTTCAATTTAGTTGTGTGGGTCGATTTGCGAATATGGTGGCTCACTTCTTAGCCGGGGCTACTCGAACCTTGTCAGATGTGGTTGAATGCATTGGCCATCCCCATGATTTCATTTGGCAGCTTCGTACTCTGATTGTCGGTGATCAAATTACCTCATTTTCAATAAGAAAAATCATGATTCTCTGTCAACATTTTTAAAAATAATATGAAATTAAATTAATCAAATTTTAAATCTATTAAAAGTTGATTTTTTTTTTACTATAAATGATAGTGTATGATATATTTTCATAATTTCATTTGTTTTAGCAAATGTTTTAAAAATAGCATATTTCCATTTTAAAAATTAAATAATAGTTCTTTTAATAATAATTTAAATAAAATTATCAAACAAATTCTAATATACAATTAAAATTAATATTTTTAAAAATTATGTTATAGTATAACTTCACGTAGTTTTAATATTTTACGACAGACTACATATTTTCCATAATAATACATCAAAATCCAATAGTATATTTTTCAATATAGAACCACTCATTTTGAAGTAAATATTACAATTGCATGAAAGGCAATAAAAATAAAAGACATGAACTAACTCTACCTCTGATTAAAAAAATACTTTAATTTAATGGAAATCGAATTTTAAAATTACAATAACATATTTAACATTTTAAGCACCATTTGTTATTTTCATTGTAATTCTAATATGGAAATATTAGGAAGTCATTGTTTCTTTCCTATTATATGTTACTATTATTTAATATATCAAATATCTTTATTATTTTGTGGTTGTTAATTATTTACTATTTATATACTAGTTCAAAGTTTATGTTAAAATTAATTCTTCAAAAAACTTGATTTAAAGAAATTATATATCGTGTAGAATATTACAGATAATTATAAATGGATGTAGGGTACTTACTCCGATTTAGGGCACTTACTCCATTTCGATCTATTTAATAAATATATAGATAGTTATAAAAGAATTTAGGATGAGTACGTGATAGTAAAATTACTATCTGTAACGGATATAAATACAAATTTTTAAGTACTCCTCTTGTTAAGAATTTGGACCCTAGGAGTAAGTAGTCAAGTGGGCAACTTAACAAATTTCATATTTTTAAACTCAAGTTTGAAAAATGTCGGGAAATTTTTAAAAATCAGAGAATTTCATTTTTGGTAGAAGACTAAAACAAAAAATCCAAAATAACCTTAATGAATCCACATCACCCAAGCCCAATTAACAAATCGAATATAATCAAAATTATAAAATGAAATCTGTAAAATGAAAAAAAAAAAAAAAAAAAAAAAAAAAAAAAAACAAAAACAGTTCATTTCCGTAATCGAAGAAACAAACAACGAAAAACTAGATTTTCTGATTCAACTATATATATATAAATTCAAATAGAATCGAGAAATGAAATTAAAATGAAACAATATCAGAATCAATCAGAACACAAGCATTAAAAACCTTTGATGAAATATAAAATCAAAACATTAATTTCTAATTATTTGTCAGTGCTACAAACAAATACCCAATCCTAACCCTAAATCTCTCTAGCTACCAAAACCATAGAGAATCCTATTTTGTCTCTTCAAGGCATAAACAATATCCATGATGATGACAATTTTCTGGCAAGGTGTTTCCTCATAAATTAACCCATTGATACGTTTTGCTCCTCCATGCTTAGCGAGTCACTGGATTGCGGGCTTAGTTAAGAATAAAATCAAAATTGTAGAAGATCAAAAAGAAGAAGAGAAACGCAGAGGTGATTGGCAAGGTGATGAAGAGGCATAGGAAACGACAATAGATCCGACAGGTAGACAAGAAACGAAAATGAAGCGAGAAAAGGAGAATACATGCAACAGAAAGAAAATGAAGCGATCTTATGGGGAAGATTTGGAAATTCATATAAAAGGGTAATTAGGTAAATCCATATTAAAACTGACATTATTGATACTACAATTTCCCTTAATCAAATTCATTAACAAATGATTAAATAATTTAAGCAATTTAAGCTTTATAATGAATTGGATTTACTTTTTGACATGATTGATTCACCTTCCTTATTATATGTTATTTTCCTTATTATATGTTATTTATTAAATTTATATTTATCCAAAGCGAGATTATTCACGTATTTCAATGCTTCCCCTTTATTGACAATTAGACTATTTGACAAGCATAGGATACCCTACAATGCCCCAAAACTTTTCTCACGCAAATTTGGGTTTCAAACTTTGATATCATGATAAGAATCTGGTTTTAGGAGTAATTAATCAAATCCATTACCAAAGTATTTAATAATTGGGTTTTATAATGAGTTGGATTTGTGGGTTTTATTAATAATAGATGAGTTGTGTTTACCTTCCTAATTATATGTCATTTATTCAATTTATGTTTATCTAATGTGGAATTACTCACGTACTTCAATAACCTATTACCCGTTATCCGTTATCTATTATATTAAACGAGTTTGGTCAGGAGTACTTCGTATACCTTATCCATTATTAATAAAAGTTTTTTATTTTAAATAAGTTCAAACTAGGATAATTTAATATTTGCAAATGCCCTATTCATTTAAAGTGTACTTTAAACGGGTCTTAAACGGATTTGGAACGAGTTTAAATAGTACAATTTTAAATGGGTTCAAATATAGATCCTTTTTTTATTTTTGAGAAAATCAAATTAGAATTCATTAATTGAAAACTGTATACATATATAAGATATAGATCAATATGTTTCTATATTTTTGTATAGGAAGCCTAAAAATAAACCACTTATATAAAAAAAAAAAAAAAAAAAAAAAAAAAAAAACAATCTTAATTTGAAGTATCTTATCGAGTTGACATAGAATAATATTTATGTCATAGGAGATCACTTGCTCCACTTGGTGGCTATTTATAGTCATTGTTCGACTTCATAGTTTTTCTACAAGTCTGATCTAATTATAGCTTTTATAACATTAGCTGATAGTACATTTTTTTAGAATATTGATGCCTCAGTTTGGTATAAATTAATTCAAAATGTGAAATTCATTAAATTTATTTGCAAATATATTTTTATATTTATTATGATAAGTTTAAAATATAGAATACAAAGAAAAAATATAGATGACAATTGAATTACACATTGTTCTGTTTGGTATAAATTTAAAATTAATATAATTTTAAATATTGAATATCCGTTAGTATATTTGATAAAAAAATTATAGAGTACACAGTGATTTGCCCCAGCATAATTCATAAATGATTGAGATGATTTTTTTTTTTATTTTACCAATAAAATAAGTAAAAGAAATCTACCCTAATGAAGACCAAGTAAAATAAATGAATTAAAAAAAAGTAATATGAATCATTTTTCATTAATTGAACATCTAATATTTTCTTTTAAATTTATCAGTTTATGAAATTGATTAAATCTATAAATCTTTCTTCTCCAAAAAAAAAAATCTATAAATCTTGAAAAAAAAAAGTCTCAGTTACTTTTACAAGAAAAGGTTAAAAGCCATATTTTAAGTGATAAAAAAAAATCCAAATCCAATCAGCTTTTTAACATTAAAAAAAGGGAATTCGAAGGAATATGCTATGGTTCCATAAAAATATAAATTTTATTAAAATAAAAATATTTCTTATTATATATTGAAAAAAAAGGACCATTGACTTGATTTAGAGTAGTATTTTCATGATGAGAATAATAATAGCACACGTTTAATTTCTTTACTTTTCTTTCTTTTTTTTCTTCCGTTTTTCTTTTTCTTTTTCTTTTTTTGCATGGAGATGCTTTTTTTATATATAATTGTGAGGAGATGTAATATTGATGGTAGGTGCTTGCATTAATTGATGGTGGTAATTGGTAGGTGCTGCTATTTATTATGCTCTTCAAATGATGGGTTATTTTCCTCGAACTACTATACTACTCTAACATTGCAAATAGGGTTGTAAGCGGGATGAATATTCTGTGAATTTTGAGCCACATATATCCATTTTTATTTAGAAATTTACTGTCTCTTATCTTGAACCCGTTTAAATACTCATTTAAATATCTACAGCCGAGTAAGATTGGATTAAAATTGAGTCAAAGTCTCTTTTTCTGAAAATTTAAAACCTCTCTTCTCTTCTTTTACGGGCGACTACCGATGAGTTCTCACCGGCGTCACCCCTTTTCTTGTCTTTTTTGCTTTTTTGTGAATAATCTTCAAATCTGTAAACAGATATGAGTTATTGTCACTCATATACCGGAATTTATTGTTGCCCATATATTGAAATTTTGTGCTCAAATCTATTATGAGTTATTGTTATCATTATTATGGTGATTTTATTTAACGTATTTTATTATTGGATAGCTACGCAAAAAGAAGTGCAAATCTCCTCTCTAATAAATAATTATTTATGAGTTTCTACAGTAAGCTTTCACCTTTTTTTTTTCCCTAGTGTATGAGATAGGTGAAAGCGTCTGCAGCAATAAATATATTTAGAGGAGAGAAGTAGATAATTAAGACTAGCCCTCGAATAGAGATATACACCAGCTCTTACAAACAAAAATGCAAGGTCTCAAACCCATTAGAGTAAGAAAAGAAGAAGAAGAAGAGAAGAAAGAAGAAGGAGAACCGTTGAGTCCGGTGGCTCGCATATTTCATGAGTCTCATTCCAATGCCTACATAACTGTGTTCATGGGATTTAAGACTCCTGTCAACCTTACTATCTTTAAAGCCAACATAACAAAAACATTGCTTAAACATCCTCGTTTAAGCAGTTTGCAGGTAAATTCATTTGTTTATATTAATTATTGTTTCATAAGTATATATTTATTGTTAAACCATTCTTCTAAAAAGCTTATTCTAACATTTTTATAACCTATTAGGGACTCTAACTCTGATATCTAAGTTTCAGGTTGTCTTAGATTTCCAGAACCCATTATTTTTCTTTTTCTTTTTTTTTTCCGATTTTCATGCTTTTTATTTCCATAAGAAAAGAAAATCTGCTTTTTTTTTTTCCCCGTAATCATTATTGTTTATTATCGTTTTCCTTTAGGTTTCATGCTTTAAGTGTGTGATCGGAAATCGGAATAATTAGTTGAATGGATGATGTTTCATAAAAGCTCTCTGACAAGCCATAAATGATTTTTGTCAGAGTATTGTTTGGAGAGTTCTGAATATCAAAACGAGACCGTGAAGTTTGAGGGTAGGTACTATGTAGTAACTAGGTTTTACTTAATTTTCAAAATTGATACTATGTAATCATTGCATTATAATTCCGTTACATTATAAGGTTTAATCCTTAGTTTTTTTATTACACTATAAGGTTTAATTATTAGTTTTTTCTTTAAGTGACTGGGGAAAAATTAAAAGCACCGTCCTAAAGATAATAAAAAGTTGGTTTAATCATTAATTTGGTGAGTATCCGTGTATACCTTATCCATTATTAGTAAAAAGTTGTATTTTAAATAAGTTCAAACTTTTATAGTTGAATATTTACGGATACTTTACCCATTTAAAAGATATTTAAACGGATTTGGGACGAGTATAAATAATAAAATTTTAAAAAAAATTTTATCTCGACGGAGTCCATGGCCCATTCATGGATCCAACCAATGAGAATAAGGTTTTTTATAGCAATGAAAATATTTCTGACCATACATTAGGGAAAAAAAAAAAAATTAGAACATGTTCTAAAAAGTCCTTACTGTGATTGGTTTGGTCCATAAGCGTGTTACGGACCGGCCTAGGCAAGTAATTTCTAAAATCTCAAAATGGATTTGAATATAGATATTTAGTGAGTATTTAAACAAGTTTGAGACAGATATAGCAATTATAATTCTAAACAAATATGAACATGGGTGGCTCAAAATTCACAGAATATCCACCGCTCCTTCATCCCTACTTGCAATTAGAGTAGTATAGTAGTATGAGGAAAACCATCCTTTGAAGAACATAATAAATAGCAGCACCTACCAATTATCACCATCAAGTAATGCAAGCACCTACCATCAATATTACATCTCCTCACAATTATTTAAAAAAAAAACCAAACAAACAAACAAACATCTCCAAGATTTCAAATAAAAAAAAAAAAAAGAAAGAAAGAAATTAATGGTGGGGCTGTTATTATTCTTATCATAAAAATATTAGTCTAGAGTCTATAGCTCCACTAGGGATAGAAGCAGTGCAGGTATTTTAGGAGACTAGTCCTGTTTCGATCCATTTAAAGAGAGTGTGGATAGTTATAAATGGGTTTAGGAAGAATACGGATAGTGACTATCCGTAATGGATATGGGCATTGGTTTTTAGGTACCTGCTACCAATAATTACCCGTTATATTAAACAAGTTTGACAATGAGTTTCTATACGTATTAATAAAAATTTATATTTTAAATAAGTTCGAATTTGGATAGTTTAAGATTTGCGAATCCTCTATCCGTATAACGTATTTAAACGGGTTTTAGATGGATACAGGCAATAAAAATTTAAACAAGTGTAGACACAGATATTTAAATGGATATTTAAACAGATTTGGAATATAGATATAGATAGTAAACTTTTAAATGGAACATATACAGATAGCTTAAAATTCATAGGTACCCGCCCCGCTTCCATCTTTAAGCCCCACCTAAGGACCACACTAATAAAAATAAGAATTATTTAAAAATTATTCTTATTTATTTATTTTATTGTAGTGTAAGGTGATAAATATCCTTATTTTAATAAAATTTATATTTTCATTGCACCATATCGTATTCCTTCAAATTCCCATTTTTTTTTTTTTTAATGTTAAAAGCTGATTGGATTTGGATCTTTTTTTATCACTTCAAGAAATCGATTTTAACCTTTTGGTGTAAAAGTAACTAAGATTTTTTTTAAAAGAATATATCATTTTTCTCCCTGTGTTTTTACTTCGTTACACTATTAGATTTTTTTTGTTCAATTTTTATATCTTTTCCATTAAGAAGCACAGACGTCAAATGAGAGATACTAAAATTCTATACCATAAAACTTATGGTATGGTCCATATGATTTGAAAAATATAACTAGTTTGTAATTGTATTGTTAAAAATATACAAAAACTAAGAAGAAATAAGAGGTGTATTTTCGTCATTTCATAAAGCATTTAACCGAAAGAATATAAGATTGGACAAAAGGATCTTATTGTTTGATGGAAGTAAATTATAAGAAAATTTTAGTCTATTTTCTGAAATACAAAGACTGACTAGTTTTATTTTCTAAATCTCAGGAAACATACTGTAATTTTTCTATTTAAAATTATATTAATTTTAAATTTATAGTGAACATATATGTTGCATGAAAACGGAAATGTGAAAACGGACACAGGAAAACAATGTTTTTACAAATATAGGAAATGGAAATGTGGGAAAACGTGTAAATATGAAAAATATAAGGTTATATTTCTAAATACAAAAAAAAATTATTATAAATCATTAAATATATTCAACAACAAGTCAAGTCCAATCAATATTTAATCATATCCAAAAGAATGATAAGTTTCACTCTAAAAAAAAGAAATACATGTTTCATGAATTTGTATTTATATTAATTAGAGAAATGATTTTTTGAATTTACGGAAACAACATATTTAGAGAGGAGAGATGTGTTTTCAAATTATTCAATTTATGGAAATGGCCCAAAACATTTCTGAGGAGTTTCCAAGCTCCTCCATGCAGGAAACGTTTCCAAAATGCTGAAATGACTGTCAAAGGAAGTTTCCGTGTAATATAAATCAACGTAACAAATATGTAACTCAACTGTATTCTATATTTTAAACTTATCATAATAAATATGTAAATATTTTTGCAAATAAATTCTATCTCGAATTCATTTCAAATAAATTTCACATTTCAAATTTATATCAAACTTAGCTTTAGCCAAAAAAAAATCAATATTTTAAGAAAATGTAGTATTAGCTAACGGTATAAAAGCAAATAGGTGAGAGCGTTTGTAATAAATAAGCATTCAGAGGAGAGGAGTATATAATTGAGACTAGCCCCCGCATAGAGATACACACCAGCTATTACAATTAAAAAATGGAAGGTCTCAAACCCATTAGAGTAAGAAAAGAAGGAGAGAAGAAAGAAGCAGGAGAACCATTGAGCCCGGTGGCTCGCATATTTCATGAGTCTCATTCCAATGCCTACATAACTGTGTTCATGGGATTTAAGACATCAATAAACCTTCCTATCTTTATAGCCAACATGAAAAAAACATTCCTTAAACATCCTCGTTTAACCAGTTTGCAGGTAAATTCATTTGCTTATCTTAATTATTTTTTCGTAAGTTTATATTTATTCTTAAAACCATTCTTCTAGAAAGCTTATTCTAATCTTTTTATAACCTATTAGCTACTCTTAACTTTGACACCTAAGTTTAAGGTTGTCTTGAGTTTCCAGCAAATATGATATCAAGCTATTTAACTGATCTAGATCTTAATTTGAGTGTATTGGGGAAGCATATTAGCTTGTGTTAGATTCGTGAATTAATTAAACTATTTCTTAGTTTTCTCTTATCTAATAATATTAAGAAATTTATTTGCTGATTAAAAAAAAATATGATATCAAAGTTCAACCCCAAAACTTTCTTATAATCCATTAATCTCTCTAGCTTTGAGACCTAGATTTAAGATTGGGTTTAGATTTTGGCTGAATACATAATTTAAACCCTGAAGTTTAACAAAAAAAAAAAAAAAAATTATGACATCCTGAATTTTAAAATTGAACTTCTCTTTCTGTAATATTCTCACATCTCGTCATACTAGAACAATAAATTTTTAAATTTTTTAGTTTATATATGCAAAATATTGATTTGATATGAGTTAGTATAACTTTTGAAATAATAATTTTCATATTTTTTAACGATTCAGTAAATGTTTAATCAATCTAAATTTATAAGTTGAGGTGTTCAATAGGTCAATTAAAATGTTTAATAAGTATAATTTTATAAGTTGAAGTGTTCAATAGGTCAAAGTGAAAGTTGAGGGTGCTATAAGATTTTTCGTGAAAAATACGGGTCAATTTATGTATCATCAACTTCAGTTTCCGGCACCCATTATTTTTCTTTTTTAATTTTCCAAGTTTCATGCTCTTTCTTTCTTTTTTTTTACTTAATTATTATTGTTTATTACTATTTCTGTTTTATAATACTTATCACATTTGAAATTTCACGTCTCTTAAAAAACATTAAATTTGTCTAGGTTACAATAAATTATTAAGTAAATCGACTATAATACCCTTAATTTAATACCCCATCTATCACAAAATATAAGTCGTTTTGAGTATTTTAAGGAGTAATAAATAATATTTTTCCAATGTTACTCTTATTTACATATACTTTTATAAATAACTATTGATTTTGAGATAAATGATAATTTAGTTGATTTTACCCTTAGTTTTGTTCTAATTTAAGAGAATTAATTACTTTTTTAATTTCAAACGACTTATATTTTAGGATAGAGGGAGTATATCCAAACACGAAATTAAATTTAGACTCTTCAATTCTCATATTTTGTCCAATTACAGTGGTAGAGAGATTTTGAAAACACATACAAAAGATAGATATGAAAACAAAATTTATTATTTCTTAAAATCATAAATATTATAAATATTTTTAAACAAATTATTTTCTCTGATAAGTAACAGGGCACGTTAGGTTTCATGTTTTAGGTGTGAGTGAAAACTTACGTATGCGTGGAAAAATGAGCTTAGGTTTCATGCTTTAAGTGTGTGATGGGTATAATTAACTGAGTGGTTGATGTTTCATAAAAGCTCTCTAACAACCCATAAATGATTTTTGTCAGTGTATTGTTGGCAGAACTTAAATATTAAAATAAGATCTTAATGTTTGGGAGTAATTACTATGCAGTCCCTGGGTTTTACTCAAATATACTAATAAGAACCTTGGTCTTGAAAATTTACATTATGCAATCCTTGCACTATAATTTCGCTATACTGTAAGGTTTAATAGTTAGTTTTTTCATTAAGTGACCGTGAAAAGGTAAAAAACACTCCTAAAGATAATTACTATTCCCTTCGTCCCATTTTATTTGCTTATTATTTCTTTTTTTGATATCCCAAAATATTTGCAAGATTTCTAAATTTAGATATATTTTTCTATAATAACATTGTTCATTGAATGAAGGACTTTTAGTATATTAATGAATTATTAAGGGTAAAGAATAGCAAAATAACTTTTATTGACTAAATTCTTAATATGTATGTTTTGTCAAACTATACAAACAAAATGAGAAGAAGGAGTATATAGTTCTCACTGTTTTGTGCAATACAACTAATAAGGACTTTAATTTTCATAATTTGACAATATTTACTCCTATATATATATATATATTAATTATCCTTAAAAGTATTTTTGACGTTTCACAATCATTTAACGGAAAAATTAACTGTTGAACCTTAGGAACTAAATATACAGTGTAATTTTTGAAAATAAAGGTTTTTAATATATAATGTATTTGACAAAAATTTAGAGAATATAGTAATTATCCCTAAAGTTTATTACAACGTATAGGAGTAATTTTAAAATAATTTAGTTCTTTGATATTAAAACAAGATTAATACGTGCACTTACTAATGAATTTTAGGATGAATCACTCAGTATACTTCTCCCAAGGATTTCGTCCCGATTTATTTACAAACAATCGCTGGGAGCTTTATCTCTTAGTAAGCCAACCCGAGGCTCAAGCAGGATGTACCTTATAGGATACATGTAGTTAATACCAAAATATATAACAGAGGTACGCCTACATAATAGGTGTTTCCAAATACTTAATAATATCATTATTACCAGGAGGAAAGCACGTTGAAGATAGAAGGGTTAATAACTCAATATACTTCTTCTTTAATCGTTTGTCTTCTTAATTTAGATATTCAAACGTTTTATTCTCCTCAATTTAAATTATATCTAACTTAATCAATCACTTCAATTAATAAAAAAAAAAAAAAAAAAAAAAAAAAAAAATTAATAAAAAAAAAAAAAAAAGGAAAAAAAACTACCTTACAATATATAACAATTATTTAGTGGCATTAAACTTCGAATGATGAAATCAGGTTATGGATGAGAAAAAGAGGTGGAGAGATGAAATGGTTAAAAACAGGAAATTTAACAAAAAAAAAAAAAAAAAAAAAAGAAAAAACTACCTTACAATATATAACTAATTATTTAGTGCATTAAACTTGATGATGAACAGGTTATGGATGAGAAAAGAGGTGGAGAGATGAAATGGGTTAAAACAGAAATTAACTTAGACGATCATATTATAGTCCCAGTCATTGATCATCAAAACATAGACTGTCCTGACAAGTTCGTCGAAGATTATGCCTCCAACCTAAGCAAAACCCAGATTAGCAAATCAAAACCTATGTGGGATTTTCATTTTCTCAATATTAAGACCTCTGAAGCAGAATCAACTGTGATTTTCCGCGTCCACCATTCAATCGGCGATGGAATCTCTCTCATGTCTCTTCTGATATCGTTCTCTCGAAAAGCATCGGATCTTGAGTCACTTCCAACAATTCCAACTGTAAAGAAAAGATATGAAAAGAATTCTGGTGGTGGGTTTAGGCAATTCTTGGAAAGGTTATGGAGGTTTTTGGTGCTGTGTTGGAATACTTTTGTTGGTCTTGTTATGATTATCGCTACGGTTTTGTTTTTAGAGGATACAGAAACGCCAATTAAAGGTTCAGGAGATGGATCAGTTCCTCGAAGATTTGTTCACAGAACAATCAGTTTGGATGATGTGAAGTCGGTGAAGAATGCTATGGGCACTGTGAGTATTCCAGTTTATTTATTATTTTCAATTATTTAGTTTAAAATTAAGACTTCCATTGGGTGTTCATTTTAAATTATTTGATAATGGTTAACTACTTGCCGCTTAATAATTATTATTTAAAAATCTCAATTAAGTTGAAATTTAATTAAAATTTTAATTTAGCTTTGTCGGCACTAATTTTTAGTTAGTTTTTAACGTTTTCACCGTTTTCACCATATCATAACTCTATCTTTATTATAACTTAACTTTATAATTATCTCTATTTTTATTATAATTGAACTTTATAATAACTTTTAAAAGTTGAAGAAACTTTTTATAAAACATTAAAGTGCATTTTACAGAGAATAGTTAAATTTTTATATTAACGCTTACCCTTGTTATAATTTATTAATAACAAAGTTATATATTTTTAGATCAACATTTTATGATTATAAAAAATTATTAAACATAATAAATCATTATTAATATTTTAATTGATGTTAGCAAATTATATTATTATTATTATTTCTAAGCCAAAATAAAATTATTTAAATAAGTATTTAAAATTAATTATAATTTATTAATAACAAAGTTATACAATGTGTTTTCAGACTGTGAATGATGTGATGGTTGGAATTACACAAGCGGGCTTGTCACAATATCTCAATAGAAGATATGCAAAGCTTCTAAATGTAAAGGATACATATGGTAAGACTTGCATGATTACCATGGGTCTAATGGATAAATATGTCGTTGTATTTTCCAAGATTATCTTTATAGACCTTTGAATTTGCAGAACTTGTCATATGATCTTATATTTTCATATTTCAATAATAATTATACATCTCATTAAACTGTAATGTGAAAGTGTATAATCATATGTAACTGAACTCATGCAAAAATATTTCAATTTGATGTGGAATATAATTATTATTGAAATATGATAATGCGGATTCATGATTGAACTCTGTAAAGTTCACAGGGCAATAAGGATAATCTATGAAAGTTAAATAGAAAACACGCAATGCAATACACACAAAAGTTAGAAACACGACACATACATTCCCTAAACATTGGCTTTTACTGTATAATCTCTTTGGCTGTGGCAGCAGAAGAGGATAAGAAAGAAGGTGAAGCAACAAAAAGCAAAAGCTATCTTCCCAAGAATATTCGCATGAGAGCATCTTTTATCGTAAACTTAAGAAAAGATTCAGGCATCCAAGTGAGTCCTTACATATTTAATTAATTAAGTTTCATTTGTTTATCTTTATATTTATTTAATTAATTAAACAGGCCTTAGATGAGATGATGAGAAAGGGTACAAAAGCCAAGTGGGGAAACAAGGTTGGTTATGTTCTCTATCCTTTTACCATTAAATTAAGAGACGACCCATTAGATTATGTACGTGATGCGAAGGTTGTCGGAGAGAGGAAGAAAGCTAGTCTTGAAGCTTTATATGCATATTTAGGGAACAGGTTTCTTCTTAGATTTTTTGGGATTAAGGTACGTAAATTCCATCCTTTTTATACTTCTTTTGTATAATATATACTAAATAGAAAATATTATATTCATCTTTAAAAAATTATTCAAAAAAATCTATTAAAAAACAGTATGATTCTTGATGATACATAAAAATAATTAGATGTTGTTATTATTATTATGGAGCAGAAGTTTGGGCTTCCAAGTCAAACCACATTGTGTTTCTCAAGTGTACCTGGTCCTCAAGAGGAAATCTCTTTCTATGAACACCCAATGTCCTATATAGCTCCAACTTGTTATGGCCAACCCAATGTAAGTTTAACTTCTTCAAATTTACACATTACAAGCATATATATAATACATTTCCTGCAAGTTGGTCTTGAGTTTCAACGCTCACGTTATCTTTTGAGCAGTATATTCGGCAAAATTAGTTGTTTTGATAATTAACTGTTTGAATAGATTTTCATAAAATACTAAAAGTTAAACATTACATGAGTTAACATTTTGTAAAACATTACTTCTAAAAGTTAGTTTAAATGTATGTTATTGAATATTATAAAAAATAATTTTTAGTGTTTTTAACTGGTCAAAATACTAATAGTTACTTCAAATTTATTGCTAAATACAGCCTAAGTCCTTACGAAGAAAAATAAGGAGACAACTTAGACTATGATTACCATTTTTTTTTCTTAATTGAGAAAAATATTGTTCCTCAATAAATTAAAAATTCATGAATTGAGGTCATTATGGTGGTTTTTAAACTTAATTTAACGTGCAATCTTGCTAATTATAAGGAGATAAATCTAGCACTAATAAATTTTTATCTAATAATTTTGCAGGCCTTGTTGATACACGTGGTAAGTTACGTAAACAAAATGAAAATCGTCTTATCAGTTGACGAAAATATAATTCCCGACCCTCATCAACTTTGTGATGATATTCAAAATTCTCTGAAGCTCATCAAGAATTCTCTCATAGCTAAAGGGTTGTTGGCTGATAGCTAATTAAGTCCCTTTTGGGATTTCGATTTGAAGGCCAAATTATTGGTTAAAGGTTCAACCAGATGAATAATGAAAGTATAAGTTTTATTTCTATTTGTAATTCCAAAAAAAAAAAAAAAAAAAAAAAATAAGTCCCCTCTTGGGATTTCGTATTTGAAGGCCAAAAATTATTGGTTAAAGGTTCAACCAGATTGAATAATGAAAGTTATAAGTTTTTATTTCTATTTGGTAATTCCAAAAAAAAAAAAAAAAAAAAAAAAAAGAACAGCTTGTAATATTGAAGGTGCGAACGTTCAAGCATACTGAGTATATTAATTAAAATAGTAAAAAAAAAAAAAAAAAAAAAAAAAGAATCAGCTTGAATATTGAATGTGAACGTTCAGATACTGAGTATATTAATTAAATATGTGATTTTAAAAACTATAGTTCTTATAATATTTCTTTTTGCAATTTTTTGTATTGAAAGTTATTCAAAATGCTTGGTTTATGGATTTGGCAGAATATTTATAGGACTATGTAATTAATTGACCAGACATGTATAACAAGACAATGAGTTTGTTGTAACTGATGAAATTAATCAAGTAATTAGTTATGAAATGAACTTGTATTGCAATTATAGTTGATAAAAAATTATTATAACTAATTAATTACTTGTTATTGAACCACTAAGGGATGAGATGAGATGAACAACGCATAGGATTTATTTGACAAAATTAGCTATTTTGGTAGTTGTTAGTTATTTTAATAGCGTTTACGTTTAAATAGCTTTTTGTAAAATACTAAAAACTAAATGTTACATGAATTAACTTTTTATAAAACATTACATTAACTTTTAAGAACAAGTTCAAACACTATATTAACCGAACTTTATAAAAAAATAGCGTTTAACGTTTTAATTGGTTAAAATGCTAAAATCTACTCCAAATGTTATTGCAGTGAGTGTAAAACAACTTAGCAATAAATGCAGATTTAATCAACCTTTTTTCTAAACCCAAAAAGGGCAAAAAAAAAAAAGGTGGAGGGATAGGAATAGGATAGTTTTTAAATGCAAGATCATACCTGCTATAATTATTACACATATCAACCCCTTTTGACTCTCAAAAACAAAACTGTTGTTTCCTTACTTTCAAGTGCAGAGCACAAGTGACAAAATGCCAAGGGCATTAAAGATTCCCCACTTTCCAATGAACCAAATTAAGTTTTTGCATGTGGACTGAGTCAGCGTCTACTCCCATCATCTTCAAGACTCAAGAGGGCTGAAGTAGTTGTACCTCATAATTATTCTTTAAAATGGCAGTATAATAACTGCCCAACTGTATTTACTAAACGTAATTATTGTATTGTAAAGATGTCAACTGGCAGTATAATGATTTTTCTATGTGTCATCTATATATATATATATATAAACTGGAATCTTTTTCTATAAATTACCAAGTGAAATTGCTAGGCAATGCCATGTAAGATTAGAAAAGTAGCAATAGCATGTAGGATTAGAAAAGTTAAATTATGCCATGTAAGATTTAAAAATGCTTTAATTTGTAAATAAATGCAAAACATAAATGTTAAGACATAATAATCAATGATATAGTAAGAAATACTAATCATTTAATTTAATAAAGATTAAATAAATAATTAGCACAAAAATATTTAATAAAGAATTAAGATAAATAATTAGCAACAAAAATAAGTCCATTTTAAAAAAATTAATAATTTTAATTTGACTATATAAATAAATAGAAATTAAATAGAATATTTTATGGTTCTAACATTATTATATATTATTATGATTATTATTATTATTATTATATATTTTCAAAAAATGGTTTAGTAATCATAAATTACCAATTCTTGAAAATGTTTGTTAACTATATTTACATAAAATTAAAATTTAAAAATTGCAAATTCAAAAAAATTATTTATCTTGAATCTAAAAATGGTTTAGTATCATAATTACAATTCTTAAAATTTTTAACTATATTTATTAAATTAAATTTAAAAATTGCAAATTCAAAAATTATTTATCTTGAATCAATTTAATAAAAATTCAGATATAAAAATTTTAATTAAATATTAAAAATCAATATTTATTAAATTATCTATGCATAGCACAAATATATAACCATAGAACCAAATAAGATTGCATCTTTTAATTTTCTATAGTTGTAATTAATTTACATAAATAATTATGATAATCATTATACAATAAATGATTATTTATTATTAATATATTTATCATCATTTGAAATTATTAATAATAAAAAATAATAATAATAATTTGATTAAACAAAGACTAAATGTTTTGATTTCAATTCAAGTCATTTAAAATTAATTTAAATAAATACTTTACATAATAAACTGCTTAGTAAATGTGATGAATGATATGATATATATACAAAATTTTAAATATAGTTTTTAAATAACTATAGCTAGAATATATTTTTCACAATGAGACTTTTATAATACATTTTATTTTATTTTAAATTTTTAAATTGCAATTCACTAAATAGTTTTAAAATTGAAACATCTATTATATAGTTTAGATTAGTTCAATTTATTTACATTTTTAAAAAAGATTAGTTGAATTTCACTATGATTTGAATAATGTATTAAAAAATTTCAAATATAGCTTTCAAATAAATATAGTTGGAAAAGGCGTATCACAATTAGTGTTTTGTACTAAAAATGCATATAATATTTGTTTTAAATATGCTTTAACGAGAAAGAAAGAAAAACAGAGAAAGATACATATTCTAGACAAATAGAGCAATAAATTCGAATAAAATTACACAATATATTACAATAATAAGAAATCGTTAATAATATTATAATTGAGAAAATTTAAAATTAATACAAAATTAAGATATTAAAACCATGCAAAGCATGGGTATTATCACTAGTATATATATAAAGCAAGCATTTTTTCCCTAGAAAACTGATATGTAGCACATCCACTTGGTATTTTAATTTGACATATAGCATATTCCTCCAATTAGACTTCTACTTGACATGATTTAATTTGATTATTTAATATATTAACATATTGGTTTGGTTCGGTTTGGTTTGAATTTATTTTGAATTAGTATTTTTAGTTTGGTTGGATTTGATTATTCAATGTATTAATATATTGGTTTGGTTTGAATTTCTTTTGACTTAATTAGTGTTTTTGGTTTAGTTTGATTTGGTTATTTAATGTGGCTTTAAGTAATTACTATTAATTATTAGTTTTTTAAAAATAATAAAGTTTAATAACAATGAATTATTCAATTAATGTATTAATATATTATACTTTGTAATAAATGTTTACTTTCAAATTTGTAAAGTAACAAATGTTTCATCCAACAATCGTTTCCTATCTTTAATGTATCTTTAACGTTTCCTATCTAAACGTTTCCATTTTTTTTTAAATGATGTAGTAATGCACCTTTTTTTTTTAATCTTAAATTGTTTAATCTCAAGAAATACTATATATAAGTTGTATCACTGTATTCTTCTGCAAAAGGTGTCTTGGCCCCTACTTTTAAATATACCATTCAGTTTTTCTCAAAAGTTCAAAATTTTCTACATTTTAACTATTTCTACTAATGTGGTTAGTAGTTCTTACTCAAACTTTTTTTTTTGTCTCCTTTTTTAAAAATTATTTACCATATTTTTGCAGTCCTAAACTATCAAATCAAATATTTTTGTCTCCATTTTTTAAAAATTATTTACCAAAATAATTTTTTGCCAGTCCTAAACTAATCCAAATCAAATATATATATAATATAGGGTATATATACTATATATATATATAAAACAAGCAGAATTTTCCTTGGTGTTGCCATGTAGGATTCCAAATTAATGACATGTATATAACTTAATTATTTACTTTTATATTTATTTAAAAATAAAATAATTTATAATTGAATTAAACCATCTTAAATGTAATTGATTACTATAACATTAGAGAATTAATAGCGTGTTAAGTAACAATTTATATAGCTTTTACTGGTATAAATAAATTACATAATTTATAAATTTTAATGATATGGGCAATTATTATTTTATATTAAGAAATTAAAAAAAATTATTAGATTAAATTATATTAAATATAATTGATTAATTATAGTATTAATAAGTTGAAGATTTATATAACTTTTAATTATTTAAAATAAATTATTTATTCATGGATTTTAATGAAATAGCGAGTTAATTATTTTTTATATTAATTTTAAAGCGAGTTAATTATTTTTTATATAATTTAAAGAAAATAAATCAACAAATTGAAACTTTGGTACCGACCTTTCATTTTACTTGTTTTTTTTATTTCTCTCTAATAAATTTCAATAATTTTTAATTCATATTCCCCTGACATGTGTCTAATCTATTAATTTTTACTTTAATGTAATCAAAACTATTAATTTTTACTTTAATAATAAAAAATTATGCTATATTTTTTTTTCTATTGATATATCTTTATGATATTTTTTAATAGTATAATAAAAGAAATGTCATTCAAGAATCTAGAAATTTCATTTATGATATATATAGCCTGATCATGTCATCCAAAAAGACACTTATAGCCTTGGGTGATTTTGGGGGATAAATTTGTGGGAAAGTGGATGAGTTTTGGAGGGAAGTAAAGTCATCATTATTAATGCTATAAAAAAAAATAATGCTGGTGGCTCATCATTAATGCATTAAATGTTTTTGTCAAAGCCAATAATCAGCAACTAAGTTGTCTACCAAACCAATTCAACATCATGCATGTCATTGTATTGAGCCAATAAACCAATTCTTAAAGATGGAGAATATTGTATTAGAAAAGATTATGAAGTCTTAGGACTAACCTCTATATGCAAGTCAAGGGAGTTGCACTTATGCCATCCAAGCTAAGAGAACTCATCCATTTATTCAAACCCAAACAATTAATATATAACATTCGATGTGGGTATTGATGAACCCTAGTTAGAATAGCACATTTGTATTATTTGTCATACAAAATTAAAATGTATAAAAATATATTATGAAAGGAACATGACACCATTTTTTTTATTGAAATCATTCAAACTATATGAGTAGTAGGTTGTGCTATTAAATCATTTGTCCATTTAACTTAAATTTTCTATTTGTATTATTTGTCATACAAAATTAAAATGTATAAAAATATATTATGAAAGGAACATGACACCATTTTTTTTATTGAAATCATTCAAACTATATGAGTAGTAGGTTGTGCTATTAAATCATTTGTCCATTTAACAAAATTTTCAAAAATCTACTACAATCTTCAATTACATTAATTTGGTAAGTGTACTGTATAGACAACTTAAATTATGCTATCGAACAAATTATCGTAGAACAATTGAATTAGTCTTTTCAATTTCTATGTCACACTATCTATATTGCTACCATAATTGGCTTTACAACGACTTATATATATTATACTTTCAATCTTTTCAATTAACTGATCGATTTAGGTGGTTAATACAAGTTAATCTGTCGTTTGAATCCTCCATGAGATAGAGCGAGCATATACTTGTTTTGTAAGCTCACATTATCTATTTCACTCAAAAACCAATAAAATTGTATAATGCTATCAATAGACTAATGTTTAGTTGAATAAATGTACATTCACATCATTTGATCACTATTTAAATTAAAAATTTCATCAAATTTAAAAAAAAAATGACACAAGGAGAATTGATCATGGGAGCAATCCCTGTCACTAGTTCGAGCAACCTGCACACATGCCATTCAAACTAAGAGCAGTTATCCATTCATTTTGACCTAAACAATTAATATATAACATTCGCTGTGGGTATTGATGAACCCTAACACAATTGTATTATTTGTCATACAAAATTAAAATATATAAAAATATATTATGAAAGGAATATGATACTATTATTTGTATCTAAATCATTCAAATTATATGAGTAGTCGATTATGCTATTAAATCATTTGTCCATTTAACAAAATTTTCAAAAATCTACTACAATATTCCATTATATAAGTTTGGTGAGCATACTATATATGCAAATTATTGTAAAGCAATTGAATTAGCCTCTTCAATTTTTATGTCACACTATCTACATTGCTACTGTAATTGTCTCTAATACGACTTGTACATATTATAATTTCAACATTTTCAATTAATTAATCAAATTAGAGCGAGTATATACTTGTTTTATAAGCTCACATTATTTATTTTACTCAAAAATAAATAAATTTTATAATACTAACAATTGACTAATGTTTAGTTGGATAAATATGTATTCACGTCATTTGATCTCTATTTAAATTAATAATTTTGTCAAATTTAAAAAAAAATGACACATGGAGGAATTAATCCTAGGATCAATCCTTTGAAACCCAAATTAAGTAGCCTCCACATATACCATCCAAGCTAAAAGCCCTCGTCCATTCAATTTGACCCAAACAACTAATCTATAACATTTGCAGTGGGTATTGATGAACCTTAATTGGAATAACATATTTGTATTATTTGTCATACAAAATTAAAATATATAAAAACATATTATGAAAGGAACATGACATTAATATATATATTAAATAAAAATAAATACAATAAAAGGAAAACAATTAATAATAGTAAAATAAAAGCCTAGCATGTGCATTGGTGAATGTAACCCAATTGCTACTTTGTCTAGGGTTATTTAATGAAGAGAGATACAGATTTGAAATTCAAATTTCCAATCCGTTTAAACCCTGTCAATTTTTAGTGGGGCATAAATGACATTTTACATGAGTAGATGAGGATAAAATAATTATTTTATGCTCAACGATCCTGGATTAACTTGAGCCAACAACCATTATATCGATCCTGATTAACTGGTGGAGCCAACAACCCATTATATTATATATATATATATATATATACTATATATATATATATAATTATATATCATATTATATATATATATCATGTGGAATATATATATCATGTGAGAATAAATGTATTGTGGAATTCAAATACACCATACATCTCACAATATTTTCTATAATGGTAATTAAATATGGAAAAAATTATCATACCTATATAAAAGAGAGAATATATAAAGCTGAAGAATAAAAAAAATTCTCACGGCTTCGCAAAGTAGCCTCTTCAAATTCACACTCTTGCACTAATAATATACAAACCTTATGACATATTTATAATAATTTATAAAAGAGTTTGAGTGTTCTTGATTACAAGTGTTTTCACTAATTTGGTGAATTATCTTTTATTGTGTATAACCCACAGTGTTTTCAAAAGCCAAAAAAATTTTAAAAATCATTAAAAATTTTTTATTAAACTTCAAAGAGTTAAATTATGATTTGCTAGTTAATACTCGTTTAATAAAATAAATGGACAACTCAAAATGTGACCATTCTTCAGGTGTACAAAACATATGTTAACAGTTACAACCACCAAGGCTACTGGCAGTGCTTTTCTAGTTAATGAGGATGTCTTTATCTAGAATTGAAATTCCGTTTTCCGATGTTTTATCTCTGGTTAGATTTTTCTAGTTGGTTTTTCTTATATTTTTAAATAAAATATTAAAAAATGATAATATATTTTTTTATTGGTTTAATTTATGGGAGCATATGCACCAACTCTATCTAAATTTTTCCCGTTAATGTTACTATATGTGGGTCTATTATTCTTTGTCAATACATATATACAACTTGTAATTTCATTAAATGATGAATTAACTTTAAAATCTATTTTACCCGACAATGACAACAAAACTGAATTAGAACTTAAAAATTTTATTAAGACAGCAAAAACATTAATTATTACATATTTTCCTTTGTTAGAAAATAACAAAGAAATATCTTGTCTCAAAAAAAACAAAAAAAAAAAAAAAAAAATTGTCTCAAAAAATAACAGAAAAAAAAAACAAAAAAAAAGAACGGAAAAAAACAAAAAAAAAAAAAAAAAAAAAAAAAAAAGAACGGGAAAAAACTCAACTGCTTATAATAATCTTATTAATGGAAGCAGCCACAACTGAAACATCATGCACCGCTATGTTGATCTCCGAAATGGGCGACTTTCCGACGCGGGAAAATCCTTCTTCACAAGACATAGCCTCAGCTGCAGCATCAGAAGCTCCTTCATAAGCAAAATTATAGTTACCTGTCCTTAAAGCTTCGATAGACTGAGGAACATCTCCTCTAATAATAACACTATAACGATCAGCACAAACTCTCAATTCTTGTCGCTCTTCTAGGCTAATTAAGCTGCTACTTTGATCAAGAAGGTTGTTAATACGTTCAAGAGCATTTGTGGCCTTAGCATCAATTGTGTAAATCATTATTTTAGCTAATCCAATTAGATCAGTACTAAAGCTATGAGGATTTGATACGAGAGACCATACGCAGAGTTTATAGTAAGGTGTTTGTTTGCATGTTTGTTCTATTAGGTTACTGCCTATTATGCTTGGAATTGTTGCATGAACAGGAAGAATGAATATTAAGAGTAGAAAAAGATTTTTCATTTTCTTTTCTTTCTTTTTTTTATTGTTTTTATTTTTTTATTTTTTTATTTTTGGTGATGGGTTTTTAGGGAAAAAGTATAAAGGATTCGCAAAGTAATGAATTCTTATGGGTTTTAGTTATTTTTGGATTTGGAAGTATTTTTATAGGACAAAATTAATAATGTTGCTTCTAATACTCCAATATTTGAGGAGACAGTTATATTCCTTGTGAATGAGGTGTAAGAATGTTTCAAAAGTATGTGATTGGATTGACCCTTGAGGTTCGCCTTTGGGCAAGGATCATATAACAACTTCAGGCAAAACCTTTTTGTTTTAGTAAGTTTGAATCTTAAATTTTCATTTGGTATTTTATTTGATCTAAAATTAAAAGGACATAAATTGGTTAAGTTAACCCAAGTTTAACTGTGAATCTTATTTTTATATTATTTTTATCAAAATTTTAATCTTAATTTGCTTTTATAAGTTGGAAATATCTTAATTAGCTTTTAAGTTGTAATTGTGAGTTTTTAAGTTGCAACTAGTCATGTGCCGTGCGATACATAAACCCTGTAATTTTATGTTCTTTAAAATTAAATTGAATTTAATTTTTTACTTATTTATTTTTAATTAAAAAATTAAAAGTAAAGTTATAAGTTTTTTTAAAAAAAATTTTCAAGTATCGAACTGAAATATTAATTAGTACCATTAATTATTGTAATTCAACTGATATAGTTAATTAATTATTTTTTTCTCTTTAAAATTATCATATACTCAAGTTAGATGAGGTATAAGAATATTTAATTTTAATGAAATAAAATTCTAGTGAATTGCAATTGATATTTTAATTCTATTTGTTTATGTAATTATATTGTTTAATTCATTTTTATTAATTACGAGTCTATTATAACTCCATTAGGGTTTTTTTTTTAAATAATAACTATTAAATAAAAACCTCAATATTTATTAAATGTAAAAAATATTAATTATAATGAAATCATCCATTAAATTTATTAATTTGGAACTCCATTATTTCATTAAAAAAATTATTTTTTATTAATAATGAAAAAATAAAATATCACATCTCAACTTAATATTCTAATATATTACCATATAAGCATTTAAACTTTAGAAATTATATATCTATATATAGATAGATTGTTAACATGTCAATAAGTTTTTACTACTCGGCGTATAAAGATAAATTTAATTTAATATGAAATTCCAATTGCTCAAAAGTTCATGATGAAATTTACGATTAAGCCTAAATTGATTTAATATTGATTTTATATCAAATTAAATATCTAATAAAAATTTAAGGCTCAAATTATATATTTTATCTATATTACGACATCGTTACTGGACATAAAATAATTAAACTTCATCTAACTAGTCTAATGCAGTAACCGGCAAACTAAAAAAATTTCACAAAATTTTATGACCTTCATTTAAAATTTAATATTTTCATGTAAAAAAAAAAAAATACCACCCCTAATTTTTATTACTTTATTCAATATGATCTTACAATTATTTTAAAAAAAACCCAAGAAAACATCATTCATTAAACAGAGGACTATAGATATATTGTAAATCACCATGTTCTTATTCATGAGATTCAAGAAACCTGCAAGAACTTCTCAAAAAAAAAAAAAAAAAAAAAAAAAAAAAAAAAAAAAAAAAATTTTATTCATGAGATTTCAAGAAAACCTGCAAGAAATCTCCAAAAAAAAAAAAAAAAAAAAAAAAAAAAAAACAAAAAAAAAAGAGAGAAAGAAACCTGCAAGAAAAAATCAGCTCCACTAATGGAGGTATAATGCCAATTCATCTTTGTTCTTAACAACCTGCTGACTTCTGTGTGTACTCCTCATTTAGAGCAACCACTATGCAATTGCGTATTCTTGCAACCTGGGAATTTTGATAAAAAAAAAAAAAAAAAAAAAAAAAAAAAAAAAAAAAAAAAAAAGAGAGAAAGAAACCTGCAAGAAAAATCAGCCTCCACTAATGGGAGGTATAATTGCCAATTCATCTTTGTCTTTAACAACTGCTGACTCTGTTGTGTACTCCTCATTTAGAGCAACCACTATGCAATTGCGGATTTCTTGCAAACCTGGGAATTTTGATACAAGCTTATCCAAACAGTCACTTGTAGTAGCACCAGATGAAACCTCTAATGGCACCTCTGTTAAACCGGTTAGATCTCGAGCTCTAGCGAAGAACAATACCTTAATTTTAACAGATGAATCCTCATTGCCCACAGGTCTGGTATTGACATTATTGGTCTTGATTTTTATAGCATCCATAGCGGAACGAGGAAAGCATCAATCAAAGTGAAACATATATCTGCAATGGTGACACTCAGTATTGAAAAATGTCGAAACACAAAATATTCACAACAGCAAAAGGAAAACACTAAGGCTATGTTTGGTGGAGCATAATGTAATGCAATGAAATCAAGGTTCAAATGGAATGAAATATGTAACAAAATGGAATGTAATTAACATTCTATTATTATGTTTAATTGCAATTAAAAAAAATAATTGTAAAAATAAGTTCCAGAACATAGCATCGAATCAATTATAAATGTTATATTTGCTTGAATCCTTCAATAGACAGTGAAACACAGAGATGATTAAACTTTATCAACTTCAATTAATTCAAGAAATGAAAAAAATAATATATTGGCCAAATTGGAAGAGCTTACTGAATAACTTTTGGACGCTTGTGCCTAGACTTTGGAGCCTTGCAAACACTTCAAAATTCAATCTTTTGTCAATTTAAGTTGCGTTTCAAATTTAAACTGACAGGCAACTGAAGGGTAAATTTGTCATCACAGCTCCATAATTGACTGCTAAAACATAAAGTATCAAATATGAATCTACATATTTAGATATAGCAATTTGAAATAAGTTAGTAATTTCAAATAAGAGAGTTGTTGAGCACATAGTCGTATTATGCAGCTATTGTATTACTTACTGGTCACTTGAGCCAGCTCATAGGTTAAGTGAAATAATATTCAATCAAAATAGAGCTGATTCTCAGCTTTCTAATTGGGTAAAATAAATTACCTATCTGCTACTCACTACATTAAGCAAAATAATACAAACTTTCACATGTCGGAGTTAAATATGGTATATTCTAATGAATGCCCCAAACAAATAATCAAACAGAGACATGTGATCGTGTCCAATTACAGCAGCCGTGAAATTTAGAGGAGCATGTTATGTTTGATATTTAGCATCAGCAAGATAACTACTGAGTAACAGGTCCACTTCATGTGCCGCATCGGCTATAGATATTCTTGTTTGATTAAACCATCACAGCAACTACAACCCCAACTCAAGACTATATTACCAATGCAAAACAGATACCAGAGGAAATAAACATCAGGCACCTGATGACATGAAGTGTTTCAAAATCCAAAGACTAACTTCATATCTTACCAATCATCAGATAATTTGGAATAATCAACAATCACAACCATCAATCTTACATTTTTCAAACAGCATCAAAAACCAGATAGCCACAACATCAACACTCTGGACATCTACCCCATAAGAATCTTTCCGGAACATAATTATAAAACCCAATAAATTATTTGTGGCAAATAAACACACAAAAAATAAACATACAGTTCGAAAACAAGATTCCGGAATTTCAAAATTAAAAACTGAAAAGACAAAAAAGAGTAGAAGCAATACAGGAAGAAAACATAAACATATCCACAACTCAATATCTTTTAGGTGGTAGAACAGAAAACCCACAAACTACAAGGTCCATACATACCAAACTGACTCGGTCAAATCAGGACTGGCTAAGGTTTAACATGTAAATATTTAGGCATCAAAATAAACTTATTCAACTGAGCTTTCTATTTCAGTTTCAAAATTCTAGATACAATTAGGCCTTTTACCTACAACTACATACTGAGTTTTTGGATTTAATATTGGAGATGACTCAATAAACAATCATACTTTACCAGTAATGTAATACTAAGGCTACACTTAATAAAGAATTCTCAACAAATCATATTAAGCCTTGATAATGAATTTTCTTAATAAACAATTAGGTTATAATTGAGTTGGGTACCAAACCAAAAGTTAAGATCTCAAAGCAAATTCTGAGAATTGCTTCTACAAGTTAAAAAATAAAATAACTCAATTAGCTAACCTTAAAGAAGTGCATTCTAGTTTCAACATAACCAAATTGGATCTAAATTCTAAAACACCAAGAGTTAAATATTTTTCTTTCAGACATACAAGTTGCCAGTTTTCAAGGTAACCAAAGGCTTTCTTGGTTCAGATAGATATAATTGACTTACAGAAACAGCATCACCGAGCATAGTGATTACCAAATCAGTCCTATCCTCTGGATCTCTAACAACAAGCAATGAGCATTTGGAGTTAGCTAACAGGTCTGCAGAAAGCAAATTTTGTAAGGCATAGCGCTGTTAGAGACAAAAATATGATAAACTAAATATATCTAAGATCAATGAACTTTTTCAAATTTTTATTCCTTCCAAAGATAAAATCACAAAATTGCAGAGTGTCCCTTCGGCAAATCACTTGGTTCTTGTTTCAGGTCTGCATTCGAGCAATGCCAATACCAAATGCAAAAGCCACAATCTCTGGAACACCCAGAAGATCCCAACCTCCAAATCACACCAAAAACCAATGAACACACCCAAAAGTGGAACTCACAATAAAACTAACTACTAAACAAGATGAAACTTCAAACCAAGAAAAATGTAGTCTTCCAGTTACCTGATAGCAATCAAGAATATGGGTGACAAATTTCAGCCACAGTAAGAAGAAGAAGAAAACGTGAAAATGGAGCAAAGGAGAAATCCGATGGCCAACTAAGTTGATGGAAGAGGCAATGGTGGAGGCAGTGTGGTGGAGGTAAATAAAAGTTGGTCGTCAGTGGTGGTGGAGGAGGTGGTGCTAGGTGACTTTTGAACGATAGAGTTTTGATTGTGCGGTTACAGATTGTTTGGATGAGGTTATTTGATAGGTTTGGAGAGTAAAGTAAGGTAGAGGGGGATTATTTAGTCGTTTGGGAAGAGAGTTTGAGAGAGAGTATGGTTTTTTGAAAGTTATTTGAGAGGTTGAAAACCCATCTACACGGCCCAATCTTCAACACCCCGAACTGGGTGTAAGCATGGTTAAAAAATTTAATTTTCAAAATTATCCATAATTATATTTATTAATCTTCCATGATAAGAGTATTTTCATAATATTTATATTTCACAGTACCTTCCTCTACCATCAAACCAAACAAAACAATGTTATTAAACCCTCATTTACCATACATTTCCCACAAACACAAAAAACACATTTACCATACTTTCTCGTATTATACTTTATTATACCTTACTTTAATATCCCTCTCTCCCTTCATCCAAACAAAGTGTTAGGGTTTAAACGAGCATAGCTTTGAGGATTTCAAATTGTAATTTAATTGATAACACATGTGTTTTTTATATAATGGATATGATTACATAATTAGGATTACAATAAGAATCTTCATTACATTACAATATAAAAAAATTAAAAAAAATTAAAAAAAAAAACTCACCCAAATTCCATAATCCACCCCATATAATGTAATCATTCCATTATATAAATGATTACATCTAACCAAACATAGTCTAAAAGAAAGGACATTGATATACTGTTTTACCCTGAACCTCAAAAATTCTTTGCAATTATTCCCATTTGGTCAAAATTAGACTATATTTTGCAATTAAAGAGACATCGATGGAAGTTATGATAGAGTTGAAATGAAGTGAATAATTTGTAAAAAAAATGATGAGTATAATAGACCACATTCCATTTCAACTTTGACCAAATCATACCTTTTGAAAGACTTGGATACAAGAAAAGGGTTGGATTTTGTTAGTCATCAAGCCCACCAAAATGGACAACGGCACATTGTTACACCCCCTAGCCCAGCTAGGTCTTTGGTGGATGAGAAACAAAAAGAAAGAGAGGGAAAATACAAGAAAATTAGAGGAGAAAAATAATTTTTAGAGAGATTTCTTGTTCATTGTAATAATGCTTAAATGAAAATATATCTCTTACATATTTATATGGACCAATTAACAACTACTAACACTAGTAAAATGTCTGATAGAGCTGTGGATCATGGCCCAAGACCCTATAAGGTGTACTCAAGGAGAATTAAAAAAACAGGGGATAATAATGGAAATAGCACTATGAAGATTGGAGATCAAGGCAGGCTATCAGGTTAGCGTAGTTAGTTATGGAAAGAGATTATGTAGAGGCTGCTGGCAAGAGTGGGAGGGCATCTCTTGGAATCTTCAATATATTGCATAGTAATCAAAGGCAAAAGGCGCACTAAGGCGCAAGGGGCTGCTGGAGCCTAGGCTCTAGCCTCCAGGAAAAGGCGCACACCTGAGTGAAGTGAGGCGCATAAAAAAAAAAGAATAAAATACATAAATCTGAAAAAATATAGTTTAAGATATCAATCAAAAAAAAAGGGAAAAAAGTAGAAAACACAGAAAGAAACACGCATAAATCAGAACAAAAATGGCAACATGACAAGTTATATTTTAAGATATGAAAGTTAAGGCAGAAAAGAGTATAATCAAAAAAATGGAAAAAAGAAAAGAAACAGAAAGCAAATATTGGAAAAAATTGAAAGAGTTATATCTAGATGGAATGGGGCTAAAGACTGGATTGCAAGAGGTGAGTGCTAGACAAAGGAGTGGAAGTTGGATCACAAAGCACATCACCAGTTTGTGTTGCATTTTATTTATTTTTTATTTATTTATTTATTTTGTGTAAATTGATGTTGGCTAGATAGCTTTATATTGAAAAAAACCCTGGGTGACTTGTTCTAGAAAACAAAAAATAGAAAGGTGCACCTTTCTCGAGCCTTAGGTGCAAAAAAGGCTCAAAAAGGCGCACGCCTCTACCCAAAGGCGATGGCCTGAGTGAAATCGCCCTCCTCAGGGTAGTTGAGGCGCAAGCCCTTGAGGCGCACCTTTAATAACTATGGTATATTGCAGCAGGGTATTATGCTACGGGCTTGTTCCTGGGGGCTGCTTGCAACCATTATCCTTTCTTTAATTGTTTGGCTCTTTTGTTCTTTTGTTCCTTGCTCTTTGTGTCTTCAATTCAAATACCAGATACAGAAATTGTAATCACAGACATATAATCAATACAAGTCCCTCCTATTCTTCTTCTATTTGTTCTTATTCATTTTATAGCTCTTTCTGCCATTGGATTGCTGCATTCTTAACTCCAACATTGTCTAACACTTAAGTAAACTAATTGTTCCAGCAAATTATTAATTCATAGATCCCATACTCTTCTTCTCATTGGCGCAGCCATAACACACATACGCATAGAGAAAAGTTAGGAGAATGCGACACCACAGAATGTGGAAACAAAACACCATTGGAGTGACTGTCTAAAAATACTTGCAAAAACAAGTGCTACATCAATAATTCTCAATTAAAACATGAAGATTTCTTTCTTGAACAAAAATCCATTTTTTGATGTATTTCATCTATTCCATGATTGGAACAATAAAACCATAAATTGCCTTCCAAGTAGAAAATTCAACCTCATTCATGTTTTAACAGTAAATGTGGGTATTACCTTTTCACTTTCCCGTTTTAACAGCTTACCAACACCTCACTCGGCCGTGATGCCAGGAGCATCACCTAATGGTCCTACTTCAAGTTTTAGCATAAGCAACTAAGCAAACAACAGAACGAGCCAACTACCGTAACCTGGTTTGCATTCAGCTAGTCTCGTTTGCCTACAAACTCCACTTGTTATAATTTTCCTAACATTGTCTATTTTGTACAGCAGGAAGTGCTAAATGGTGTTAGCTCTCACTCCTGCAATATTCCCCAGTATTGGCATACTGGTCGACCTCTCTCATATCCACTCTTAAAAACCTTGCACACCCCCATTAAGACAATTAGCAGCAACTCCAGTTGTTCTAGATTCAAACTCAGATTGTGGCACTTCACCACCTATAACCAAAAGCAAATACAGATTTTCTGAATGTTAATAGCATCACATGTCAATCCATATTATGCTCGACCTAGAAGCTAATTCCAGGGCACCAATAAACTTCAACAACAAAGCTAATCGAACAATAATTCCATATATCCAAAACTAATACATCATAGTACCACCAGCCCATGGTACATATAGACTATAAGGATCTCTATTCCAATTGACCAATAGCACCATAAGCAATGCAATCATTCTTTCAAACCTCTCATGAATTCATACCTTAACATCTAGATAGTCTGCCAGAGTATGGCTTAGACAGTGATGAAGAGTTATTTACATTATTGATAACCTACAGATGCAAAATCAACACTTTGATATCATAACCATCATCAACCAAATATTTTACTTTCTTAACTAGTATCATTTAAGGACAATATATCCTCATTCATTGTCCATCAATTTCTCACAAAATTTTAGAGTAGAAATTACAATGAATGGTTGCAACAGTTGGAAAACTTTTTGCAATTGCTTCAAGCACAAAATATTAGTCAGACATTTGAGTAGACCCCAAAAAAAAAAATAATAAAAAAAAAGAAAAAGAAAAAGAAAGGCACTTGCCACCTAACGTAATTTTTCATGCTATGCATACAACACAAGAGCCTGAGGAGTGAAAACTATTTTCTGAAGCTGCAAAGCTCGAGTCAGAAAATAAATTGTATCACTAGACACGAAATACATAAAATCTCATCCTCAAATGATCAAGAATAGAAATAAAGATGAAAAAGTACAGGCTATTAATTATTACATTCCATATTCCTGAGATTGGAACCTAGCTGAAAAAACCTGTTTCATATTACTAATGTAGATTATAACTTTACAAAACATTACAATTTTGTGCTTCTCAGAATGGCCTAATCTCTAATATCGCACATTCACACTCTGGTAGGATTCAAAAGTGCGTGTTTATAGGCGCTTTGCATTTCCATTACTAGCAGATGTCAAATCGCAAAAAGACTACATAAATTAAAATGAATGGTGCTTAAAATAGAAAAGCATGAAAAACATAACCTAAAAACCTTACTCTCTCATCCATCAGCCTAAGGTAAGCCAACATACAAAGCTAGTCAATATTAATAGAATGAAGATGTGCAGGCTGCTTTTAAGTATCAGTTTAAAAAGGCTAGTATTTACTTCTTCTCTATGAAAAGTGAACACCCTGATTTAAGAAAGTGATTTGAGATGGCATCTAATCTGCCTTAAATTTCAAATAAGAAAAAGGGATGAAAAGGTTGGAGGGTAGAAAGAGAACTAGCAATACTTGGGCATTTGATTCAAAAATTAGGTGCTCAATACAAAGCTGTTAGTCAATATGAACTTATGAATATTAGTAACTCAGAATATTCATCTAAAGCATGCCCGTGGGAAAAAAAAAAAAAAAAAAAAAAAAAAAGATGAAAAGGTTGGAGGGTTAGGAAACGGAAACTTAGCAATACTTGGGCATTTTGAATTCAAAAATTAGGGCTGCTCAATACAAAGCTGTTAGTCAGGTATGCAACTTATGAATATTAGTAACTCAGATATTTCATCTAAAGGCATGCCCGTTGAAGGAAAAAAAAAAACTAAAAATTTTAGGGAAAAAAAAAAAAAAAGAAAAAGAAAAAGCAATACCAAAACTCCTGTTTACTCTTTTGCAACTTCCCCGCTACTTGTTCCCGTAATAATCTATGATTTCCCACACACGTTAGCAATTTATATGATTTGTGGGAAAAAAAAAAGATAAAAATGTAGTCTCTTTGAAAATTAGAATGATCGAAGACAGATTACCTTCCAAATGAACAAAAGTCACAGAATTACCAACCAAACAACCAGTTAACAAGCACCGATGTATAAACAATGAAAACAACCAGACTAAGCTACAACCCTTGATTAGTTAATTTAGGGATGAACTGAATTACCAATTACCAAACCAAGAATGTGAGACCTTCCACAAAATTCAGACCCATATAGCTCAACTGAATTCAACCAGTCAAACCTTCTATTGGTTAGAGACCATTATGGGAAAATTGGTATATCTGATTATATTGTTTCTATGAGCTATAATCAATCAAACACATGTGGGTCTTCCATGGATGAATAATAAATAAATATACACACTGCAAAATCCTTCGCATACAAATGAAAACAGCCATAAAACGGAAAACCAATTGAGTAAATCAAACAAACAGATAAAAAATTAGAATAGAAAGATACCGTAAATGATGACAGAAGGAAGGATAAGAGGATCTTCAAGCTACTGTCACCGCTCGCTGAACAGGAGCCTCGAAGAGGTATTCAAACTGAAAGATGTTGCTTATTTACCACCATATCCATGTGATTGTGGACTAAAGCACTAAACAAAATAGACTGACGGCGGTATAAAAATATTGATTATTTAATTTGCTGCTAATAGTATAATAATAAAATAATGATAATAATAATAAAAGCTTTTGTATTTTTGAAAAAATAAATTAATATCTAAATACGAAACAATACTAAAATTGATTCTATTGTAGGTAAGTCAAACTCTTTAATTTAACCAAATTTTTACATAAAAATAATAAAAACCAATGTTTCTTATCTCTACACCCAAAACGATAGTTCATCTTTCATTTTAATTTTGTCTCAAAATATAGTTCACTTTTCTTTCTTGCATCGTAGTTAATCTTTAAATTGTCTACTATATCCTTATTAATTTATCTTATTTTCAATAAAACTCATTAATTATTATTTATTATTTTAATATAATAATTGCTCATGAGTTATTTATAATAGACATAATATAAAAATTATATATATAAAATTGTCATTTAACCATAATAACTGTAATCTGTATAAAAATAGAGAGTGAAATATCTTTTTTAAAAAGGAGACAGTATAATTTTTTTAAATACTCGTGGCCTAACCTATGAGAAGCAGAACCAGCTGGCCCTATCCACGTATATTGAGTTGAACTGAATTATTTATCAATGATTTTCATATAAAATTGTAGTTATTGTGTTTGAGTAGTGCTTTTTTTTTTTTTTTTTGTTATTTGTGTTTGGAGTAGTGGCTTTTTTTTTTTTTTTTAATTCTTATTAAAATCACTTTGAATGTCATTTATTATCGTGTTTCACTTTTTTTTTTTTTTTTTTTAATTCTTATAAATCACTTTGAATGTCATTTATTACTCCCGTTTCACTTTAATAATAATAAATTATTATTTTATTTTCATTTTAAATATTCATTTAGGATTTTGAGAATATGTTAATAATTTTATTTTTATTTATTATGAGATAAAATTAGCATTGATTTTATAGTAAAATTAAACGGTGAATTTTTAATTTTAAGATAATAAGATTAATTTAGACATTTTACTATATATTTTTAGAAAATCAACATATTCTGATCATTTTTTTTTAATTCTTATAGATAAAATGAAATTTTGCTATTAAAATGAAATGAATGGAATATTATTTTATCTTTTAAATCAAATCGAGCTGCTATAATTATAGGGAAGCTAATATTTGTAATATCTTTATAGTTTGACAAGTGAAGTAATTGAACTCGTTTTAAATTTTAATCCAATTTTATAAAATTATAAAAATAATGAACCATTAAAACCAAATCAAATTATATAATTTAAAATTGAACCGAACCGAACCAAACCATTACCTCACATTTTCTTGCAATTGTACATATTCATAAAATTTTGCATTTTGAAATCAAAAGATCATCATTAGTTATGTGAGGACGAAGTTTATAAGGATCTTAAAAGGAAAGACGTAATTTAGAAAATACTAATAAAATTAGGGATTGTTTATTTAGGCCGAATGATGATGCCGAATTTAAATCAACAGCTTACTGCTGAATGGTTATACAAATTTAACTTATTATTTAACTATTATCATAATACGACTGTAACAAATGAATGTATACTATTCGTATGCAATATAAATTTAATTTAATGATGAATATTATAAATTAATTATGTAAAAGTTAAAAATACTTCATAATAACTAAAAAAATTCAGTACAAAATATAAAATTAAAATTCATCATCTATAATTAAATTATACCTACCACTTCTTGAAGCATATAGTCCAACAAGTAAAATATAAAGTTAAATTATATCTAATATAGAGTCTCTTTTACAGAGTAGGATATAATTTGTAATTCTAATATATAATTTGTAATTTTAAATATTAGGTGAAAATATTTGTCTTCTCGTAAAAAATAAACTATACAACTTACCATAAAAGTCAAGAAAACTTAGCTTTTAATGCTCCGGTTATTTCTGCAAAATAATTTGCAGGAAAATAATTTTTTGAAAAATATTTTTTATGAAAATATTTTCTTTAAAAAATATCTTTCAAATGACTTATTTTTCGTTATTTGGTTGTAATATTTAAAATTCGTTAAAAATATTAAAGTATCTCATAAGACCATAAAAAATATTAACAATAATATACATTTTATAATTTAAAAATTTTTAGATATAGGAAGAATGCAAAAAAAAAAAAAAAATATAAACTATGAAAGCCGTCGATGACCAACGGTGAAGGCGGTAAATAATGACTGGAGTTAGTGACGATGATAATTAATAAATTAAAAAAATATGAATTTTTAAGATTTGTCGACGTCCGAAAAATATTTTACTAAAAAACTATTTTCCTTACAAAATGACTTAATTTTTCTTTCACTAGAAAAATATTTTCTAATTGACTTATTTTCCTGAAGGCCTCAAATAACAGAAAATTGTAAAAAATATTTTCTTACAAATTATTTTACGGAAACAAACGGAATTTAAATAAAATAATTTTTTGTCATTCAAATTAAGCTGCTTATTTGATAGACAAAACAAACAAACTTTTTTTTTTTTTTTTTCAAAAATGAGCCTTTAATTTTTTTTCACTTAGATGAAAATAATTTTTCCTAATTGACTACTTTATTTTCTGAAAGGCTCTCCAATAACAGAAAATTTGTTAAAAAAATAATTTTTTCTATACAATGTATTTTACGGAACAACGGAATTTAACTAAAAATTTTAAATTTGGTTATTCAATTAGTGCTTAATTTTTGACTAGGACAAAACAACAATCTTTTTTTTTTTTTTTTTTTTTTTTTTATTTCTGAAAGGATCCATGATTAAGACAAACGACTAACAAGCTATGTAACAGTCTTCCTTTCGTTTGAACAGAGCAATACTTTTTTTTTTTTTTTTTCTGAATCAATAAGACAAGCGACTAACAAGCTATAACAGTCTTCCTCGTTGAAAGAGCAAGAAAACAACAAATTGTTACATTCCTCTCTTTCTGCCTTCCTTTTCTTCCCCACCACTATCAATTTTATTCATTTGATTGACTATCGAAACCCTAAACCTTGCAAAGAGGCAGTGGAGACCCACACAGGCAATCATTTCCTACAAATGCACTAACAGGAAATTTTGTTGGTGGAATTTGTCCACAAAGATGATTATAACTCACGTTCAATCTTGTCAATCCAGAAACTGTCTTTGGTACTTTTCCATAAACCAAATTTCTTGACAAATCCAAATACTTCAATGTATTAACAATTCTCAAAGAACCCATATCAAATTTCAACTTGTTTTTGGAAGCCCAAAACCCAACTAAATAATCTGTCTTGTTCAATAACCAAATTGGACTACCTGAAATTTCATTTTCAGATAAATCAATGTAATCATAGAAATAAGTCTCCTTTGGCTTCCAAGCGTTTAAGCTCATTTTAATCCCACATTTTGCAAGTTTCAGAGAAAAAATAATGGGAGAGGAAGTGACCCAAGTGGGTATTTGTTTAAGATGGAATTGGTTATGAGACAAATCAAGAGACTCTATTCCTTTAACATTCATCACAGGAAATGGGTCTACAAGAAAATTATGAGAAAGATCAAGATTGAAGATTTTCGTGAGGTTCCCAAAAGATTTTGGTACCGTCCCTGTAAAGTTATTCCATGAAAGATCTAATGTGTCTAATGCTGTAAAAGATCCAAGAAAATCAGGTATTTGTCCGTACAATTTATTGTGCCCTAACTCGAGGTAGGCTAATTTTGGTGCCAATGATGATATCGAAATTGGGATTTTCCCTGAAAATTTATTGTGGGAAAGTTCAAGAATTCTGAGATTTGTAAGTGATGAGATATCAGGAATTGAACCTGAAAGTTGGTTTTGTTTGAGACTAAGGTAAGTTAAGCTTTTAAGTTTGCTAATTCCTACAGGGATATTACCAGTGAGGAGATTGCCACCGAGTTTGAGCTGAGTCAGCTCAGTTAACTGGGATATTGAACTCGGTATTGGTCCAGCAAACCGATTCCCAGCCAAACTCAGTGCACCCAGTTGGGTTAATTTACCTATATTGCTAGGTATTTGACCCGAAAGCTTGCTATTTTCTATGTATACAAATTGGAGTTTGGGTAAACTGAACAAAAGATCCGGAAATTTGCCCGTAATATTTTTCAAGTTTTGAAAGTAAATCCCATCAAGATTTTCGACTTTTACTAGAGATGGTGATATTGTACCGGATAAGAAGCTAGTCGGTTTTTCCGGCTGCCCAACGAGAGAAATGGCAGTGACCCGGTTGTTGACGAGGCAAGTGATACCCGCCCAACTGCAGCAATCGGTGCCGGATTTCCAGGAGCTGAGCATGCCCGAAGGATCGTGGGTGATACCGGATTTGAAAGCCAAAAGACCCGACTCATCATTCACGTGGCAGGCAGCTGAAGTGAGTTTGAGCGATTGAAGAATAAGAAAAGAGAGGAAGAGAATAAAGAGCAGGTTCATGTTTGGGGAAATTGAGGAAAAATGAAAATTTTGTTGGGTAAGGGAGAGCTTGCCAAAGTGTAAAAATGGAGATTTATAGAGTACAAAATTCAATTGTTTGTTTGTTAGTGGAGAGTCAAAAGTCAATATCCATGTGCTTGTAGCTTTTTATCCAATTCATCTGTTCATTAATGGCTTCTTTATTAATGCTATTTTGCCGGTTGTTATGATAATTACCTTCTCAAACTTTTCATTGAGATTATTAGTAGCCAATCCTCCGACAATGACATCAAGGGTTTGAATCTCTCACTTCACAACCATTTACTTTCTCATTTGCATATACCAATTCAATCATATTTTTATCTTAATTTTTAATTTTTTTTATTTTGATAATTATTGATCTTCGTTTTCACTTCTTATCCGTCATAACCTTGATGTCATGCACATAGAAAAAAATGTGTTTGAAAATCTGTTCAACACTGTCATGAACATTGAAGGGAAAACCAAAATGTGTTTGAAAATCTGTTCAACACTGTCATGAACATTGGAAGGGAAACCAAGGATAATGCAAAAGCGTAGAGCAGAACATGAAGGAAATTTGTCGTCGACCAGAACTCGAGCAATCTGTACTTACTGGTAAGTTTCGAAGGCATGTTATTTGTTTAGAATAGCCAAAGGAATTATTGTGGCGTATGGTTAACGAATCATTAGTTTTCCAGATTGGCTTTGTTCAATATGGGTAATGTTGCTGGACATGAGGAAGTACAGATTGTTTGGCATGAAAAGCCATGACTGCCCAATATGTTTTCATTGGCAAGAATTGATCCCTGTGGCTTCCGGGAATTATTACCAAGGAAAAATTTAGGAAGCAATGAGAACAGAATTGAGTCTCTTTTTCAAGAATTTGACGATGACTTGTTATCCGATCGATGATATGTACCAACTTTTAGCCGCGAGAAATCCCAGTAGTGACTGTATGTGCAAGTTGGAGCGAATTTTTCCACCCGGCTTCTTTGATTCTATGGAACATCTGCCGATTCATTTGCCCTATGAATGTCATTTAGCAGGACAGGTACAATATCGATGGATGTATCCATTTAAGAGGTGACTCAATAACATCTCATTCTAATGATTACATCATTTATTTGAACTTATACTTACATATTGGCATTGTACAATGACAGACACCTGCAAAAAATTTAAAAAAATGTGCGCAATAAGGCAAAGGTCGAGGGATCCATTTGCAATGCATATTTGGTGGAAGAAGCTTCCACATTCTGTTCACACTACTTTGACGACCAACATGTTTTTTCACCAAGCATCCGGAGAGTTGCCACGTAACGATGACGGCGGAGATGTGTTCAATTCTGAGTTTGAAGGAAATCTAAAAATTTTCACCTACCCTGGGCGTATGATTGGTAAATAAAAAGAACGATTGACTGATGGTAGAGGATACAAGCGGCTCAAAGACCTATATTTTATTTGAATTGGAAGAGATCAACCATATGTACAGTAAGTTATAAATAATGTAAACATTCCCTAAATTCTTGAAGTGGCCGTTGTTAAATCATGACTTATGCTAAATATGGTTTCGTTGAATAAATAGGAAATAATATCAATCTTCCTGCTGACATTGTCAAATATTCTCAATTTGACTGATACTGCAGTGATGCAAAGCGGACTCGGAATTTGGCAGAATGGTTCAAATATTATGTAAGTTACTTTCAATGTTTACTGTTCACTTACGGACATGTAACAATTATTAAATTGAACTCATTGTCATTAACTATTTTTCCATAGGCTCGAAGCTCGGAAAGCGATATTCGTCACAAGTTTATTACCGGATCTGGCAAGGGCCATTACCGGTTGCCTAAATGCTACTCTTGGCCTACTTTTGTAAACGGTTACAAGTTTCACACTGGAGGTTTAATGGGGAAGCAGAAAAGACAATGAACAGCGGTGTGTGCATAAAGGGATCATTACCTACAGTGACAGTGTCAAACAGATTTTTATGGGAATTGGTTGAGTGTTTTGGGATAGAATATCCAGGTCCTTACCATGAAGTGCACAACCCTTATTCAATGTTGAATCGGCTTTGATCTATCTACGGCCAACATTGGCACGAAGGTTTCATCCTAAGTATAATCTGGTGATATTAATCAAATGAAAGAAGGATATACAAAGTATGAAACCTTTTGTTTTTGGCAATGCCAAGCTCACGGTGTACTATGTCCCATATCATCGTTTAAACCGAGATAGATGCGTATTGGATGGCCAGTTGTACAATCAAGCGCTTAGATCGTTGTTATGCACTGAATCGACACAATCTTTCTTCCTCGCAGTATGGAGGCATTTCAAGAAGTTAGGGTTGAAACGCACCGATGCAAGTTGTTGAAGATGTTAACAAGATAGATTGGATGATGAAAAGCCGATCTTATGTTGAAATAGGAGCATCAGATTGATGAAGTGAAAGAGAATCAAAATCATATGGGTACCTTCAGAACGACGAATTGAACGAAGAGGAAAGCTGATGAACGAGGAGTGAGCGAAGCAGATGAAAATTGAAAGACACTAATACTTAGAGCATTTAATACTGTTCAAATTGGATAAATGTATATGTAATTAATATTATTAAATGAAGAATTTTAATGGTATTTCACATTGTTTTTACATCGTATTTCCACATGTTCTACAATTCAGTATAATGTATAAATTCATTTTATCTAGGTTCTGATGATCTGCAGTACAGATGGCTTAGAGGCAGAGGTTTGATTCTGACGCATCTGGTAAAGTGGTTCGCGTCGGGGGTCGTGGGCCCTGGACGCAGTGCCCGTGGAACGAGGAGTGGTTCGATCCCTCGTCCTTCGTTCAGGTGACGTCTGGGGTTCAGGTCATCTGTCAGCGACCCAGTACTGCCACCATGCACATCCTTCTTCAGGTACGTCTGGGGCTTCATCTCTGCTCAGCGCCAGTACGCCGCCATCACATCCTCTTCAGGTAACGTCCTGGGGCTTCACATGCTCGCGTCTAGTACTCTGCCATCACATTCCTTCTTCCAGGTACGTCTGGGGCTTCATCCCTCTGCTTCAGCGTCCAAGTACGCCGCCATGCCAGCCTTCTGCGTCCTTCTCTTCTGCTCCATCCTCTTCTGCTCCTTCCTCTTCTGCCTCCGTTTCTGGACCAGTACACGACTCCACCACTGCAAGTAAACATCACCTGCAAGGTAATCATAAATTTCATAACTGTCATTTTAATTGTATATTAATTATCTAAAAATTTATAACATTTGTCACTTCTTTTGTAGCTTCATCAGATCCACGTATCACCCTTAGTTTGGTAGCAGGACAGTAAGTACTTATTCAATTTTTCCGCAGGCATATTTTGTTCTGATTGTGATGCTTTCGTGTAATTATATTTCACTTCTATTTTTTTACTGTGATGCTTTCGTGTAATTATATTTCACTACTGTTTTTTTTTAGCATATATCCATCTTCTCGAGCAGCGAGGCAAATTTTGAAGATAATCAAGCTACAGTTGCATAAAGAAGGATACACATGGAATGCCGTACCACAAGAGGCGAGAGACTTTTATTGGGAGGAGTTCCAGGTACTCTTTAGTTTAAGTTATATCATCATTCAATGTTTACAATTCAAGATACATCCTTAGTGTTGAAACGCTATATTTCATTTTTTTGCAGATACATTTCATATGGGAGGAGGCCATTACGGCTATGCTGAAAGTAGCCTGGGAGAAGATATGCGCCGATCGATATGCTGACTTCACCTATAGGATGAGAAGAAGCGGTAAGAAGCGAAGCCAACAGTGCGTGTTCTCGGGAGATATGGGAGAGCATGGCAACAGGCTTGGGAGGATCCCTGCATTCAAAGAAGAAGGACGGGATGATATTTTGCAACAATTTGCACAAAACAGGCATAGTGAGACTGGCGGTGATGGAGTAGGACCTTCTCGACACACAGGCGGATCAATATCTGCTATAGAGACAACTCGATTATTAGTAAGTAAACTAGTCACAGTATATGAAACTGATGTTTAATGAAAGGACACTATCTATATTAATATATCATGCATAAAAATTCATTATAGGCTAAAGAATTTGGTCGTGAGCCAACACCGATTGAGGTGTTTACATATACTCACACGAAGGACCACGATCTTAATACGTTTGTCGACAGACGTGCGCTGAGCGTCAATGTAAGTAACAATGAATATAATATTTACATTTACCCTCTAATCATTGCGAAGATGTACAAAGTTCAATATAAAAAGCCGCAATTGCATTATTCTATTAATTGGTAGCGCTTTATCTCGAGGCTGTAGGGGGAGAGAAGAAGAGGAAGGTATACGGCATCGGGTCTCAGGCATCACAGTTTTACATTGGCTCAGCAGCTCACGCTTCTACAGCCGGAGCACAGTGACTCGTACTGTGATGATGATATACGGGCTCAGCTTGCTGATCAGCAGAGACAGATTGCAGAGCTTAGAGCGCATGTGATACGGCTGTCCGGTGAGCACCGTGCTGGTACTTCTCCCTCTGATCCTACGCCTGCTACAGACCGACATGTTTCGACGTCTCAGCAGCAGCCACTATCGGCTCCTGATCCCGATGCTGCAGACGATACCTTGGTCGGTCACCCTCCTGGCGCTACATCACAAATCCACAGGTACTCCCTCCGGCGATCCGTCATCGGATCCTGCAGATGAGCAGCAGCAATATAGATTTGATTTTGGACCTTTTCATTTGTTTTTTCAATATTTTATATTTGGTTCAAAAAATAAAAATACTATTTATACTGTTCTTCTGAATTGGCGTGGTGGATATTATGCATTTAATGTCTAATTTTCACAAGGTGCAGAAAAAATTCTTGGTTTCCAAAAAAATAATATTTTTAATTTTTTTTATTTTTTTTTCATTTTTGCCGACCGATTGGCGACCGATTTGATACCAAAAGTAAACCATTTTGAATTACAATTTGCGACCAAAGTTTCGACCGAATTTCCAAAAACATTGCGACCTGACTTTTTCGCGACAAAATTTGCGACTGATTTCCAATTAAACCGCGACCAAAAATTGCGACCGCTTTATTTCACGTTTGC